CTATTGCCAAGACAGCTTTGGTCATATCACTGGCAATATCTTTGTTTGTGTAAGAAGAAGTTCTTTGGTTCTTTTCACTTTGATTTGCCTGATTAAACTTACCGTATCTCAAAGCATCTCTCAATGTAGGCAACTCCGGCTTCAGGAGCTCTCTCCCAGACCCAAGACAGTGACTGAGATGGCGGATTTTTGGTTCCTAGATCCTGACACAAGCAGCCATGCGCCAAATATTATCCAACTTATAAATGCATCAGAATCTGAAACAGAAAAAATATTGTTAGTTGGGTTGTTAAGAATGAGGGTAAGAAAGCAATGTTCACTATTTAATTGTAATGCACTATAATGTAGCTATGCGTTAGATTTTCGATATATTTCACGCTAAAATTTACCTAGCAAAGGTTGCAAAATATTAAAGCTGAAATTATTTTCTGTTTATATACACTAAAATCTACCAAAAGTGATGGGCCATTAGTTTTAGCTGATCTTCCTCCTATGACACACCGCGCCCTCACCACCCTAGCCCACCCAGCACCTAACATACGGACCACTCTCACAACAGGCGGCTTCTTCTACTGCAGTGGTGGGGCGCCCGTCTTTAGCAGGAGATCAGCGGAATTTTCATGCCGTTGCTTTCTTCTCCTACTTGACTTCAACCACCACACCTCCAAGTACGGCGCTTTTTTGATCCGGGGAACTCCTGGCCATATACTTGGCTGTCAGACATTCCAGCACTTCCTCGAAGCCCGTCAGTTCACCATCTTCACACTGATCACAAGCCCCTCGTCCGCCTTGGCTTCAGCTTCCCAGTCACATACACCTCTGTCACGCCATGGCTTACATCTCGGGAGTTCTCCAGCGACGTCCAACACATTAAAGGCAGCCACAAGATCGCCGGCCTCTCTAGTTGTATATCCACCATTCTTCCCTCATCTCCACCCGTGATTATGGGCAGCTAGCGCGGCTCTGAAAGACGAAGACCTGGCAGCATACGGGCCTTCCCCCTCGGGCCTCATACTCCAAGAACTCCTGTTCCTGGCACAAAGACAAAAATTGTGGTCGCGGCGTATCCTGTGGACAGCCTAGACGTTAGGTGCCTCGCGTCACACGCCCGGCTGTTTTGACCGCATCCATGGTCTCAGCCACCGGGTGTCGCGGGCCTCCCAGCGCCTCCTCGCATAGCACGTGTCGTCTGGCCCGGCGTAAAGTCTGATACTAGAAATGGGCAGTGCCTGGCCTGCCAGTCCTCCAAAATACATGTCACATCACGGTTTGCCACAAGCCTTTCCTATTCCCAAGGGCGTTTCAAGTAGTACACCACACCGATGTCGTGGGACCTCTACCATCATCCTCACGGTAGTACCTACATCTTCTGCCATCGACCGTTTCCACCAGGTGGACAGAAGCAATTCCCATGCTTAACGTTACAGCAGAGACTACTGTCAGCGCCTTCTGTAATCATTGGGTTTCCGTTTGGCCCCAACACGTAATCACTGACCCGAGGAGTACAGTTTGGTCACAACTCTGGCAGCACCTCCTACGGTTTCCGACGCGTCTAGATAGCACTACAATACCACCCCAAGCCAACGGCATGGTGAACGTTTTCACCGGCAGCTGAGGGCGCACTCAAGGCACAACCACGACCCTTACAATGGACTGATCGCTTCCTTAGTGCTCCTCGGCATCCGCAGCGTCACACAAGGGAGGGATATGGACTGTAGCCCAGCAGATCTGACACTGAGAGCCTTCAGCTTTACCGGGGATTTCTCCTCCCTCCTGATCCCAACAAACCACTCCAACCGTTCGTCGGCTTACTCCCAAAAAGCTCGACAAGCAGTTTCTACATTCAAGGCTACTGCTCCGCGCCAGCCTACTCGGCCCTGAACATTCACTCCTGCACTACTAACAGCCGAGTATGTTTCGTCAGGCATGATGCTCACTGCAACCCATTACAATGCCCCTACGATGGACCCTTCCAATTGGTTACCCGTTCAGCAAAGTTCTGACAATTATCGGAATGGCAGACATGACACCGTCAGCATGGAGCCGAGTCAAACCGGCCTTGCACCCGTCGGGCCCCCAGCCCAACAGCACCATCAACAAACTACGCCTGCACCAGTCTACCGCCAGTTACCACCGGCGGCAACACCCGCCCGACATTTCTGGGCACCCTCTTTTCTCACCCTCATGTACAACCTGCTCCTGTCATAGAACCTGAACCTGTAATAAACCTCCCTTCTATCATAGAACCTGCTCCTGTCATAGACCCTCCTCCTGTCATAGAACCTGAACCTGTAATGGGCCGCCCTTCTATCATAGAACCTGCTCACCATGGACCCTCCTCTGGCATTTTGCAGAACTTCGCGTAGCCTCTCTAATCCCAAACCCTCTTTCTCCTCCCTGAATTCCTCCCACAGGTTTTGTATATGGTGGGATCATTACCGTGGCGGTCGAGTCGTACATACACCTGCCGGTATGTGTTATGTGTGGGACACAACCGGACCAACATCCAGCCTCACGTCGGCGCCCGGGGCGGAGAGGTGTATGGACGTCTCCCCTACAACTGTGTATACGCATTCCGTAACGCATGCTAGCAACCAGCGAGGGCTGACACCAGATAGTACGGTAGCCTAGCAGCAAACTACTCACCGGCGACTTTCTGGAACATACTTGATTCATAGAGGACTGGCGGCTGCTGCTGGTGTAAGCTCCTGTCTCTCCATTGAGATTCATTCTGCCCATCTTCCTGAACAAGCAACACCTCCTCCAGCAAGCTCACGCTGTCAGCATTCGTCAACCAGGGCCAGCAACAGGCAACATCTTCTCTAACAGGCTCCTGCACATCTACCTCCTTCAGCGCATACTCACTGAACGTCTCTACTGAACAGCTCCTCACCACCACGGCACCTCCAGCACCAGACTGTCTATCTTATAACTTATATTATACAAAGAAAACCACATTAGAGTTTCCTTCCATCTAGGTGCTGGAGCAACATTAATATCTCGATACCCTACAAACCTGCTCCAGGTTTTAAAACAGCTCACACTGGGTGCCGTCACAACACTCTCTGGCAGATTGTTCCAGAGTTCACAACTCTCCTCCGAAAAAGTTTCCCTCACAGTTTTCTGGACTTGCGGCTTCTTCAATCTTGAGCTGTGACCCCTTGTGAAGGCGGCGTCACCAGCTCAAGTATTGACACTCGACTGAGTAGTGCCCCGCTTGAGATGTATACACTCGGTTGGGGTCTACGCCCTTGCGTCTGTACTAAGCAGCAAGTTCTGGCGCTCCATCTAGGGTGGGGTGGGGGCGGAGGCAGGCACCCAGGTCTGGTGCTCTCCTTTTGAACATTTTCAACCAGCGGACAGTCCTAAGCATATCTCGGGGACCAGACAAGGTGACAGTACTCCAGGTGGGGAAGCACTTCACTCTTGAAGATGGATTACGAGGAGACCGGACCCGTCTAGATATCTGCTCACGACAGCCTTCTTATAAGACCCGATTATTTGTTGCCTGGTTACACTTCTTCTGCCAATGACCGGGAGAACTTCAGCTCGTTGTCAACATACACACCTAGGTCCTTCTATAAGACAGATACAGCAGTGCAGTTTCTTCATCCCGTTGGGACACATGCATGATGCATATGCCGCCGTTGGTACGCCCAGGTGCATCCTCTTACACTTCGTGACATTGAATCTCAGCAGCCATTTCTTCGACGGTATAAGAACCACAGAATCCTTCTGCGGCTCCTTGCGAATCAAGCGGCCGGTTTCCCGAAATAACTTGGTGTAAGCAAATGGTAGGAGGAGTGTATAACGTCAGGCATGTCATTCATGAAACAAACAAACAACAGTGGGCCCAATATACTGCCCTGTGGTACCCTTGTGACAGGTACAGAGAGAAAGGATTTCGTGCCGTTAATCACCACACACACACTGTAGAATCTTCTAACCACGCTAGGACATTTCCCGTATTCCGTACAATTTCAGTTTGATTTTTAAGCCTTTCGTGGGGTACACTGTCAGAAAGCCTTGGCAAAAGTATCTATAGGTATATATTGTCGATATTACCACCCCGTTCAGAATAGGTCTAAATATCCAATACCTTGAGCAATTGTGTTAAGCGGGAGCGCCGGCATAAACCGTGGTAAACGTCTTTACAAGGTTGTTTCGTATGATGTTCCATCACGGCATCTCTGATAATACTCTTAAATTACTTTACATATTCTGACGTATGTCACGGATACCCTAAAATATTCTATACTACTGAGGGTATACACAAACACTTGTTGTCTTAAAAGTAGGTTCTATTCTCATGCGAGGAGATATATATATATATATATATATATATATATATATATATATATATATATATATATATATATATATATATATATACTCTCTCTCTCATATATACACATTGGGACGCAAGCTACGCGTTCACACCACGACGACTTCCTCTCTACATCTATCTATGTATTACTGCAGCTGGGATGTACAGATGCCAGCATTCACAAACTGAATACATAAAAGTATAAATATGATAATTTATATACATAATATGAGATTGCACAATAAATGGAATATTACATAGGAGTCATGCAATTCTGTGTACTGCTATACATAATTGTGGGTAATATAAGAGTAATATAATAATACACGGCTGGTACTACTTTGTGTCCATATATCATACACCTCCCTCCCCTATCGGCTCATAGTTTCATCTTGAGCGGTTACTTTTATTTCTGAGTCATTTCGGACCTGCGGTACTGGGGGCAGAAACACAGGGTGAGGATGGATTTACTAGGAAGACATCAACATTAGGGGACTCAACTGGGGAAGAGGGTCAACACTAGGCAGCTCCACAGGTCCGGAGGAAACGACGGTTCCTCCACCATACTCTCACTGGAAGACGCGCTTGGTAGTCCTGGACCGTAATACCATAACAGCAGCCTTGTCCCAGCGGTGAGATACCGGATGTTGGGTCCTGATCTGCTGGCCGATACTCAACTGGGAAGGGCCGAGACCGCCCGACAGTCATACCCGAGCAGCGACATTTGCGGCTGGATTCTGCTGCCGGCGGTCACATTCCTCAGTCTTGGCCTGCCACTCTCGAAGAACTTTGGGTGGGCAGGAACACAAGACCTGAGATGATGCCGTATAGAACCTGGAGCTGGGGAGCGTCCGGTGAAGTTCGGGGTGTTGCGTAACTCCAGCAAACCTCGGGCAGTCCTGCGCGGTCGGTAATTCTAGAGGTGACACCTTAAGGATCAGGTGTTTTAACAGTCTGACTGGAAACTTCAGCATGTCATTCGCCTGGGGTAGTGGGGCGAGGTCACGACATGACGGACTCCCCCAGCGGTCCATACAGTCCCGGAACTCGTGGCTGGTGAACTGGGGTCCTCCATCAGTCCTGAAACTGAGGGAACACCTTCTCTGAAGTAATACTTACAAGTTCGGATGGTAGCGTGGCGTTGTATCGCACTACCACAGGGGACGACAACAGGCCATCAGACGGAACCAGACCGGCAATGACGAGGAAGGACTTCCCTGCAACTTCTACCAAGAAATCGGTGACACAGACTCAGAAGGGTCTTGAGGGTTGTCGTCGCATTAAAGGTTCCTGTTGCAGCTGGGTTGCGTCTGGCATGGTTCACCCAGACACGCGGACGGTACTTGCAATCGCGTCGATTCCGGGCAAAATACAGTCTGCTTCGCCCGTAAACGGTGGCCTCCACTCCTCGATGGCTGTAGGTGAAGCGGGTCAGGGCGGCGTGGGGCAGCGGGAATACTAGTGGACCTTTGGGGCTGAGGTCTCCGTCACAATAGAGGTCCTCGCGTATTATTTTTCCAATGCGGGGAGTAGCGATTCATGAAAGGTAAATTATCGGTTAGATGGAAATCCCTGAGACACACAGTCGTGAGCGGATGTAGGAAGAGATTGACCAGACTCTTGATGCGCGGGAAGTCTTCAAGGGTCTTGTCTGCATCCGGTGCTGTAGACTCTCTGATGTGAAAACTGACCTTCAATGAAACTACGGCTGCTTGAGGATGCAGCAGCTGGCAGGGCACAGCATCCGTCCTCTGGGGGTGGGCGACTGGCAGGAGCCGCAGGGACAGGGCATGCGGGATGCACAACAGCTTACCTGCGTCACAGCCGTGAAAGAATAAGGCGAGCTTCTCTTTCAGACGTTGGCCGAGGGTTCTCTACTGCGTAGAGTAGTGATGATGCCAGGGTATAAGAGGCGATGATGATCCGTGAAGAGGTGAAGTGCTGAAGTCCTATCAGGTGGCGGCTTGCCATACATCGCGGGCTCTTAACAACATCTCCAGCTCAATGCGTAGCACATGCTCCCAGGTCTCGTCTGTCAGGAACCGGGATCACGCAATTAAGCGGAGTTGTCCACCGCCAGCAGTCCTGCAGAAGGGCGTAACCAGCGCGGCTAGGTCTGGAAGGCGTCAGTCTGGTGGGCCGGTGGGTAGGGCTGGGTCATGGCTGGCGGGAACAGGTGGACTTCACGGGGGCCTGCTTGACTCACTGGAAGGCCTCTTGATGATCTGGGGTCAAAGGGAATGTCCTCCTGGGGCTCAGGAGGCGTAACAGCTGGGCTGCGGCGGAGATGTCGAGGTGTAGAGATTCAGCCAGCTGATTGACCAGGTGGCAAGAAGGCGGGTCTGGCTAAGTTGGCAGGGCTTGGAAAATCTCTGATTCCACACCCTTTCTCGGGTCAGCTGCGATAAGAACATAAGAACATAAGAATGGAGGAAACTGCAAGCGGGCCTATTGGCCCATACTGAACTTAGGTTCTCCGTTTACACTAACCCCTATTGCTCCTTGAGCATCAACCTATGTTTGAAGCAATTCAGCGAATTCAGGTTAATGATATTTGGTAACTTGTTCCATTCATCAACTACTCTGTTTCCAAACCAGTGTTTACCTGTTTCGCCTAAATCTAAATTTGTCTAATTTAAAGCCCATTTGCTTCTGAGTTAAGCTCCTGGTTGGATAATTTGAGTACCTTTTGTGTGTCCCCTTTGTTTAGCCCTGTCTTCCACTTATACACCTCTATCAGGTCGCCCCTGCGCTCTCACGTCTCGAGGGAGTTTTTGCAGAATTAAGATAACAACCTGTCTCTGTACTCCAAGGTTCCTAATGCCCGAGTTAGTCTTGTCATTCTCCTCTGAATTCTTTCCAAGGATTTATATCCATTCTGTAATACGGTGACCAGAACTGAACTGCGTAATCAGGTGTGGTCTCACAAGGAAACAAGATACAGTTTTAGGATGACCTCGCTAGTCTTGTAACTAACACTCCCTTTGTATGAACCCAAAGTACTTTATTAGCCTTATTCACGAGCAAAAACACATTGTTTACTTGGCCAGGTTCCTATATCATTACTCTAAATCTCATAGTCGGTTCTCTATGGCACATCGTTGATTTCATCCTGAGTATCTGGTTTTCCCTGTTTACATCCTCCTATACTGAGTACTTCCCGATTTTGTCGACGGTGAATTTCATCTGCCATTTTCAGACCATTGGAAAAATTTGTTTAGATCTTCCTGTAGTTTGCCGAGTCCTCGTCAGATTTGATAACCGTCCTATTTTAGTGTCATCCAGCAAATTTACTATGGCCTTTGTCTATGCCGATATCTATGTCGTTTTATGTGTAAACAATAATGGTCCAAGTACTGAGCAGGGAACTCACGCGGCGTTGCTCAATGGGACTTGGGTAGTTAATGCTCACTACGCTGTTTCCTGTCCTGTAACCCGCGCCTAATCCATTTTAAGGATGTCACCTTTGATGCCATGAGCTTCTACCTTTCTAATTAGTCTTTCGGTGCAGAGTTTTCTGTCGAAGGCTGCTAAAAGTCGAGATATACCACATCATAGTGTGCCCCTCGTCCACTGGTTAAAGCAAATTGAAAAGAATGTTAATAGATTAGTTAGGCAAGAACGTCAGCTTGCTGAAGCCATGCTGGGAATCATTGATCAATCGGTGCTTCTCCAGGGTGATTCGAATAGAGTTTGAAATGATTGCTTCAATGGTGCCTACTAATGATGATGAACTGATTGGGCGGTGATTAGGATGATGATCTATCCCCCTTCTTGAAAATCGATTACATTAAGCTGTCTCGAGTTCTGTTGCTTCACCTGTTTTTGGGACATGTTAAACAACTTTTGCTAAGGGCATACTAAGCTCTTCCCTTACATTCCTTTAATGCTCTGGCAAATATCTCATGGGACCAGGTGACTTATTGGAAACTTTTGGTTTGTCTATTTAGCACTAACATCGTTACTAGTCACTACTATCTCATAATTTGTTTGTTCCATATCTCCTGAATAGAGTGATTGCCTGGGGTATCATGTTTTAAATTTTCGGTGGTGAAAACTGTTGAAAAATATTTATTTAAATTATTGCTCGGCTGTGGTGGTTATCAGTGAGTTTCGCGGTCTGACCGTGTGGTCCAATCTTTTCTCGTGTTTAGTTTGATACATTTGGTAGAATCATGCGGGTTTGTCTTACGCCTCCCTTGCTTCCCTTACCTCATTATTCCTCTTTGCTTTCCTTATCTGGAACTTTAACTCTACTGTAATACCCTATAATGGTCAATTGAATTCCTTACGATTTATCCTTCTACCTGTAGCCTTCTTTTGGCCAATGATGTTCTTTAAATAATTTATTTATCCATTTAGGGTCATTGTTGTCTGATCTGAGTTTTGTATGGTATGTTTTGGTAGTAACTCACTATTTAGAGGTGGCCATTGGAGCTTAGGCGTCATGGATCTGATATCCGAATTCCGATTGTCATCTGTCCGGGTTCACGACCCAGCGCGTACCCCTCTCTCAGCTGCCTCTTTAAACTGTCCAAAGTTTGCCCTTCTGAAATCTGGTACTTTAGTGGAATTTTTCGCCGTGCCTGAAAATCTAGCTGGAATCAATTTCTTTGTGATGCTTTGTTTGCAAGTTAAGTTTCCCCTACCTCTAGAACATTTCACTGTGCGGGTTTTCTCTGTTGGAGTGAGACTAATCGGCTATATTATTACCCGTGTGGGTTAGGTTATATATGTTGACTTAGGAAACAGTCCTGGATAAATCTGAGAAAATCCTCTGATTCTGGTTACCGTAAGGACAGTCAATCTATTTGGCCAAGGTTAAGAGTGGCCTACTATACAGACTTTAGCGTGACCTCGTTTCATCCCAGATAAATTACGGCTCATTGGCCTTCTCGAGATTGGGGTCTATAATATATTACCCGTGATTAATTTTCCACGACCATTAAACTTAATTCTATCCAAATTGTTTCTGTATTCCTCTCAGTTTTATTTCATTATTTGTACACTTCAGTTATCCCTAACATAGATTGCTACTCGCCTCCTTTCCTGGTCTGCCTATGGGGTATGGAACAGTTTGTAACCGCCAATTTGGTATTAGGAGAGCTGGTAATTCCGTGTGTCTAGGTTGATCCATGTTTCAGTGAATGCAATTATATCGATTTCTTCTTGATTACATACCAAGGCCTTAATATCATCCATTTTGTTTCTCGTACACTTCTACTGTTAAATGATACATTTTAAGTTAGTGGTGTTCTGAGTCCTTCCCTTACAGGTTTGTTTCAACTCCTGTCGTTTTGGTTTGTGCGTATATTTCCTAACACTATTTCCCTGTAATCTTTCTTGCTTGTTTACCACGCTCCCACTGCAGTCTCCTCCACCCCCGTGCCCCTATGTTCTCTTGCTTAGCAGTTTAAAGACTTCGATATCTTTTGAACTGCTGCCCCTCTAGAAACCCCAACCAGGTTGCTACTCCATCCCTGGTGAGTTGCCCATCCCTAGCATAAAGGTCCCTTCTGCCATAGAAGTTGTCCCAGTTGTCAATGAATGGGACTGATATTGACTTGCAATATCTGTCAAGGCGGTCGTTAACACCAACTGCCCTTGACAACCATTCTGCCAGCTCTCACCTTCTAGGCAGGACACCGCATATGATAGGGTCCTGCTAATACATCACGATCCGTAACGCGAGCATAAAGTTCCTGCGGCTCCTACACCGGCCAATATCATTGCCTCCTGCACCGAGGCAGATAATAGGTTGTTCCATTACCAGACAAGATATTGTCCATCCTGTCAACTATATCCCCACCCCAGCTCCTGGCAAACACACCTCATCTATTTTTGTTTTTACCACAAAAGCTATTATCCTTGCCTTACCTGTGAGTCACCAACAATTAAAGTTTTTATACCTTCCTTGTCATCCCTGTATCCTGACTGTACTAACGTCAATTAGATCTATCAAGGGACTGAGCGAGGGTTGGTACTTAGCTGTTGTTGTCGTTGTTGTGCGTATCCTTTAGAGTGCTTCTTTACCACCAGCTTGGTCCTGCCACTACTCACGACTTTCCCTTTCGTTTGATTTTTCGTCGAACACTGGCTTTACTTTCGTCCAGCCTCTCCTTTTAACCGCCCAGCTCTTTCCTTAATTTCCGTTCTCAGCGTGGCCCTCTCAATTTCCTAACTTGGCCCTGTAATTCTTCAGTGGACCACTCCAGTTTGGTCAACAAACTCTCATACTAGAACCCTTTTATATCACTGGCCATATCTGATAGGTATCCTCTGGAGCTACCTGCGTGACCTTTCCCTAGTGAGGTCAGAACACAACACCCCTGATGCTTTGAGAGTGTACCCGAAGTTCACTGATGGTCTGTGACTACAAACTGTGTCAGCGTTGAGGGTAATCCGTACTTTCGACATCTGGTGAGAACCCATTTATATCGACAGAGGTGGGCACAATAGTCTTAGATGCGTGGAGTAAGATATCATCTTCACCTTGACACAATTCATGACTCCTTAGGAAGGGCGGCGTCCTGCGTTGACAGAATGCATCGCCCACGTGCTTGGCAAATCCCATGGGGCCTCTGCAATACTGGTATCTTCCAAATGGTGTGATGAATGTAGTCAAGTGTTGGTCTTCTTTTGTGCTCGATCTGCCAATAACCATAAGGCGATCCCGCCAGTTGTAAAAAACTTAAGCCTTTGGGTCCACCGCCGAACATTTCTTGAAGATTGTGGGTGAAGGTGGGCTGGACGGGAAGCTTGCTGGTTAAGTTTTGACAGATCGTGGTGATCGTACTCCATCACGAGGTTTGGCGGGGGCGAGAGGGTGGCACCAAGGTGAAGGTTAGATCTCGGCGGTTTGAATTCCTGAGCAGCCAGCGATTAAGCTCAACACGTCTAACTAATCGCTTGTGGTGAGGAATCAAGCGAGGGGTGTGGATGGCAAAGGTGTAGCACCATCCTTAAGATGAATCTTCCTTAAGGTGGACCCACCATGGGCAGTAGTGTGGATCCAAAGATTTCTTATTAATAACCACGTCAGCAAACTCCTTGAAGGTAAGCTCTTGCGTCAGAAGGGGGCGTATTTAGTAGAAGATAGTGAATTCCTTCAACCCACCATTGACATGGGTGATCTTTAAAATAGGCAGAATTCTTGGAAATAATGGCCAACTCTTGACAATGGCCGCATATGATAAAAGCAGTCGGGATACCATTATAGAACATCAATCCGGGCTAGGCGAGACTGCTTACCAAAGGTAAGGTAGCCCAGAAAGATCCCAAAGGCTGGAACCATCTTGGGAATTGTCGCTGCCAGTTTCGTTATTGTGTCTGAGGAGGGGCTGTAGGTTGCTCCTGGGTATTCCCAAACTTGCTAAAGTGTTGTGGACCAATTACTGAGACGATAAGCACCCGGTGTCAGGTAACATCTGAAGACTGGATGACGAGTTACCGTAGAAATGACAGCATTGATGTGCTGGGGCGTCGTGTCGCAATGGAACTATGTACGGCGGCAGGAACGACTGAACACAGCGTCTTGATGCTTGCCAGAAGGAGGAAGCGGCGCCAGCACTACCTGGATGACTTCTTGGATCCTTGGTGGTGTCGCTTTATGTGTATTTCTTACGACATGTTTGTCATAATAGCCCGCACGACCACCGTCTACTGAACTTTCAGCAGGGCGCTTGACTGTGTAAGCCCAGTGATGACCTGGCGGTCGCCAGCTTCTGCACACGCTTTGAGCGGCTGGGCGCTGGGGAGGCATTATGCTGTCTAGCACAGCTGTTACACAGCTGCTGCTGTGGGTGCAGCGCTGGAGATTGAGGGTGGGTTACCTTGCTGCTTCTTACCCTTTCTGTAGTAGACAATACCCTCACCTGGTCAGGCTGTGGCGTAAGAAGCTGAAGTCGCACACACCTGGCGGCCTGCGTGCGGCTTCGACATTTTGTAACAACATCTTGAAGGGAGGGGGTAGAGATTAGAAATGAGCTGAACTAGCTCTTCATCTCGGACACCTGTTAAAATAATTGTCTTAAGTTGGTGTCTCTTCACAGACTTGGGGAATGTCCGGGACAAACATCAACTTCCTCTGAACACCTTTTGAGCCTTACAAAATGCGTCAAAGATTCTCCCATCAAGCTGTTTTACATTGGAGAGTTCTCTTCTCCTAGTGCTTAGATTGCGCTGTCCCTTAGCGTGTTCCTGCAACTTGTCGAGCCGCGGCTCTACCGTCAGAGTTATGCGTAGGAGGCACTTGAAGTGTGTGCTTTCTGAGAATGCGTTGTGTCTCTAAGGACAACACATACGAAGCTGTATCATTTTGTTTCGGCTGTGATAAACTTGACGATAACCATTGTTAAGTAGTCTTGCCAACGTCGACGCCATTCCCGAAACATCTGTTAGAAGCGTCAGACATCAGAGAGGGAGGCGTCTGTGCTGCAACCTTTTGAGGTGTTGTTGATCCGACTCTGGAAATGAGGGTACCAAATGCACCTCTAGTCATCAACATTAGTAGTAGCAGACGAATCTTATGCGGTAGATCGTTATTGGGGGCTAGCAAATCAAGACTTCAAATCTGGCTTGATCTTCCTTTCTTCTAAGGTCATCCTCCGTCTCACATGTCTTTGAAGGTTCTCTCAGGTACATTCCTCTTTGTGGCATAGATCTTTCAGACTCTTTGTACGAATTTTTTCCTCGTCTCCTTGCAATATCGTCCTGGTGAGAAGTTTCCATCCACTTTATCAGTTAGCCGGAGATTTGTGGGCCTTATGCATCATAGGAGAGCTGGCTAAATGTGAGCTAGAGGAGATTCTGTGGGTGACTTCGGCGTTTGTCTGTGGGGGCGTGGGTGGGGAGGTCTCCCACACACTAAAACTACGTAACCCCATCGTCCAGGGTATCATTTTGATCCCTGTGAGACATACCGACAGCTTCTGTACTCTATCTGTGCAAAGACCGGGTCAGCCCCCTCATGAAATATACTGCAAATTACAGAAGTCTGAGTAAGTCACAAGAAAAATAGAAGGTGAATGGAGTGATATTGTGTGTGTGCTTGGCCGGGGAGGGAGAGACTTGGCCGCTGCCAGGCGTGAAGGCGGGTGGGCAGCGTCGAGCGCTGGTTCCTCAGTCACCCTCAGGCCAGAGGCGGGGAGAGCGCATTACTGTCGGGCGCTCCCATGAGTCATCTGACCGCAGCTTGCACAGACAATTATAGTTAAAATACACAACACAGCACTTCACAAAACACTTCACTTCACAGCACAGCACTGTACACAGCATAACTTCACAGCCTGTAAGTCCTAGAGGCTTGTAGTGGTCTTGCGTGGATGAAAAACTTAGAGGAGGCGCCATTAACAGGAGTCGAGGCGGAAGCAGTCCACTGTATCTCACTGAGAGAAATAATCACTGCGCCATCTGGCGTATGTCAGGATACCCACAAAATGTTCTATATACTACTGAGGGTATACACAAACACTTGTTGTCTTAAAAAGTAGGTTCTATTCTGCAAATGCGGAGTATATATATATATATATATATATATATATATATATACAGTAGAACTTGTAGAAGCTTCAGCGTTCTACGGCAACGACTCTGTCTTCCCTCTCTACATCTATCTATGTATTACTGCTTGGCTGGGATGTACAGATGCCAGCATTCACAAACTGAATACATAAAGTATAAATATGATAATTTATATACATAATATGGTGCACAATAAATGGAATATTACACTTAGAATTAATGCATGTTCTGTAATACTTTACTATACATATTAATGGAGTAATATAAGAGTAATATAATAATACACAGCTGAAGGTACTACTTTGTGTCCATATATGCACATATTATGGTGGTCAGGCTCACGGTCTATAGTTGTTGAGTGGAGTGATGATCGCCCTTCTTGAAGATAGGTCTCACATGAGCCACTTTCTACTCACTGGGGACCTTTTGTTCATCCAGGATTTTACCAAACAGGATCTTTCAGGGGCTCCAAGCTCGTTGTTCAACTCTCTTAGCACTCTAGGATGCACCATGTCAGCGGGGACTCTTATGGATACCAAAACACCTCATAAGTTATGTTTTTCAGCATGATACAGTACTATATATTGTAAGCCTTACACTACCACAAATTTAAAGCCCAAAATTTAATTATGGTTCCGTAAGCCTCCGTAAGTTCTCGTAACTCTAGTGTTTACCCTGTAAATTAAGTTCTCTTGTCGGACGATAGATTCAGTGCAGATGAGTTGGCTAACTGTTAACAAAATCATCAACCAATCACAAGAGAAGGAGAAATCAGCTGAGAGCGACGAACGTAATATTATTTTGTAAACATGGAAGGACCACCAGCCAAGAAGAGACGACCTAATTTCAGTGAGATGGGGAATATATTTCTGGGTTCGAGAGATGAT